CTTCTTTCCTAAGCGAGTCTTGGAAAGGAGAGGGAAAAGTGGAATTGGAAGGACTTCTACGCCCCAGAAGGAACGCATCCCGGTTTGTTGCAAATTTGGGTTGCCTCTGGTGACTTCAAGGATTGTGAGGAGTGAAGTGTGAACGGTAACTGATTAGCTGCAGAACTTCTGTGACTGTTAGTGAGCTTTGATTTCAGGGTCAGGCTGGAATTGACAATTTGATCTTGCTGCCTAGCTCCGCCAAAAACCAGGAGTCCGAGAGACCCAGAACGTGCATTTTCCTTCATTTCAGATCCCCAGTCACTGATTGGCTGATAACAACTGTATCTAGCTTTATTCAGGCTAAAAGCAGGTGTAAGTGAAAATCCTGTAAATGAATTGGATTTTCCTACTGGCCTCATCACTCCAACGCTTTTTTTTTTTTTTTTTGACTTCTTTTCTATTTACTTTGCAACTGATAAAGGCCCTTTGAGGTTAGATCCCCATTTCTCAAGCTTCCACAAGCTTCCAACAGAAATATTCTCTATATAAACATTTAAATGATGGAAGAGTTTGGTGTCACTGGAAAAGTCCATTCTTTAAGAAGATGATCTTAAGATTTGGAGGGATTCCAGCCTATTGGCTGATTTTGTGAGTTTGTGTGTTCTGGCCATTGGTAGGGATGGGGGAGCAGGAGGTGTGTCCCACTAATGCAGAATGATAGCTTTTCAGCCGTGTTTCTCAGGTTATCCATAAGCCAGTCAAGTCAAGAAGCCTGAGCCATTCCCCTGGTCTTGGAACTATGTTTCTGACTTAGTGTCTGCCTGATGCACCTTCAAACTCCTCTGTGAAGTGGGTTTCAAGGTATTGTCCTTTCTTAGCTTGGTGCATTCTGGATGAAAGTATTGACAATATCATGATGAAAGTTTGTCACTTTTTTTTTTTTTTTTGTAAAAGACGGCAAGATATTTCCAAAACCTACTGACTTATTTTTTTTTAAATGTTACAGTCTTTTTTTTTTTTTTTTTTTAAGATTTTATTTATTTATTTGACAGAGAGAGAGACAGCGAGAGAGGGAACACAAGCAGGGGGAGTGGGGGAGGAAGAAGCAGGCTTCCCGCCAAGCAGGGAGCCCGATGCGGGGCTCCATCCCAGGACCCCGGCATCACGACCTGAGCCGAAGGCAGATGCTTAACGACTGAACTGCCCAGGTGCCCCACCTACTGACTTATTTTGTATGGGCATCAGGACAAAAATGCCACACGTGGGAAAAACTAAAGGATCTTAGAGTAACTTTTTCATTTTATAATTTTACACATTGAAAAAGTTAACGTGCTGACTGTAAAAAATGCATAGAAGATAAGGGCATAAAACAAGACAAAAAAGAACAGAAAAAAGAAAGACTTCTTCCCTGATTGCCCATTTTGCTCCCCACTGTCAAGGACAGTTTTTTGGTGTGTCCTTCCAGATACTTCCCTATGGCTCTGTAAGCATACATATGTATATGCAAGGCTATGTTAGAATAGCTGTTGGGTATTTGGATGAAAAAAAGAAAAAGTCAGTTTTAGGGTAATTTCCTTTATTTCTTTGACTATGGTAAATCGAGAGAAGACTCATTCAGACCCTTTAGGAAAATCCTTTTTTTTTTTTTTTTTAAAGATTTTATTTATTTATTTGACAGAGAGAGAGGGAACACAAGCAGGGGAGTGGGAGAGTGAGAAGCAGGCTTCCTGCGGAGCAGGGAGCCCAATGCGGGGCTCGATCCCAGGACCCTGAGATCACGACCCGAGCCGAAGGCAGTTGCTTAAGCGACTGAGCCACCCAGGTGCCCCTAGGAAAATCCTTTTGACGAACACTTAAATATCTCTAATCAGCCTATAATTTGCACATGGCCTGGGCTCACTTTTGGCAAACAGTATATGTCATGTGTGGCAAAGAAAGTTAATCCAAGTTTTCAACAAAGTGCAGGCTGACCATAGAAATCAATGTATAAGGTAGTAACACTGCCTGTGTGTGAAGAAGGGATCTTAGGGTGTTTTTACAACAATTGATCAGTGGCATACAACTTCTACAGGTATTTCAGAGCGAGATATTGAAGGTCGAAATAAATGCGTAATGTGAGACTGTGTGACGCTTATTGCCAACCACAGTGACAGGGGTGATCCTTAGAGTGTGAAGTGTAGGAAGCCGTGGATGGGTTCTCTTAAGATGGAAAGACGCACCAGGGCCAGGCAGGGCATCCCCTTGGTTTACACACACAAGCCCCCTCTCCCCCTTTCAAGAAGTGGGGGTGGGGTTACCAAAACAGGCTCCCTGTGGCAAATTGGATCCAGATTTCAGTTTTTCCTCCTCCCACAGACTTAGCGGTCATCAGGCTGGAAAAGGTCCCGTCATTTGAACTCTTGTCTCATTTGAACTCTTGTCTGGTTCCTGGTCAGGTGCACACATCGGTCTCCGGCTGTGTTTTCACCTGCAGCCTGCTCCGGGATGGAGCAGTGGGATCCTTGAGGAGCACCCTCCAAAGCAGCAGTGTCTCCGTGGCCTCCTTTGCCCCAATTCTATGGGTCCATTCTTCTCCTGCAACTTGACTCTCTCCGGAGAACCGGATCTGGGGCTCGGAGCCCAGCGCTGTTTTTTCTCCCCTGCCCTCCCTTCAACTACCTGCCACACCTCTTAGCTTCCCCATGCTCAAAAGGGATAATGTTCTCCTTGAAAGCGTCTTTTGAGGATTAATTGATGTTTGCTCTATGCTTTGAAGAGAGAATCCTATCAAGTCTCTCTGCTGTCCTCAAAGCTGGCCCCGGTTCCAGCTGGTGCCAGGCCTGGCCAATCTGGCTGCAGCGTGAGCCGGCCTCTCATTGGCCGCCTTTCTGGAGCATGTCCGTCGCCTGCTCCTGGCCCACGGTAGAAGGGCGACTGCCCAAATAGGAGGCACAGACCCTCCCGTGGATGTTTGTACATTGCATGTTTTTTACTTGGAGAAAGGAGCATTTGCCTCAAAATGATCATTCCTTGGGAAGTTAGTTTGTGGCTATCTGTGACATTTTCTCATTTGGAAGTTGTTCTTCTCTCTGTCTCTTTTTTATTTTTATTTATTTTTTTAAAAGATTTTATTTATTTGACAGAGAGAGACACAGCAAGAGAGAACACAAGCAGGAGGAGTGGGAGAGGGAGAAGCAGGCTTCCCGCTGAGCAGGGAGCCTGATGTGGGGCTCAATCCCAGGACCCTGGGACCATGACCTGAGCCGAAGGCAGATACCCAACGACTGAGCCACCCAGGCGCCCTTCTCTGTCTCTTTTTTAAAGCTTTGTAGGTGTAAGAGTAGTTTGACTCTGCCACCTCTCAAAGAAGTCCCTTCCCCTGGCCATTTATATGGTAATTGCGTGTGGTTTGGGGAGGAAAAGGATGTTACCTGTTTCATGATAAGCACTTTCATATCAGTAGATTCTTTGTTAGAGTTGTTTAATCAAAGAAATGGAAGCTGCAACCTACTTATTGGAAAGATCTAGATAATGCAGCATGAGTTAAGGACTTGAGGGTCCTAGGAGAAGATGGTTGAGAAAAAGAAAAAAAGGTTTGTTTTAAGGACAGACCAAACAGGGAATTAAAACAACGTAAGTCAAAGACATCTTTGTTGTCTTGTCATCAAAGAAGACAAGGCTGAAGGGCAAAGCCAGCCATGCACACTAGGGTCCTATTCTGTGTCCTCAGATGGGTGTCAGGACATGGCAGGGAATCGACGACTTGCTGCTGACCATTCCAGTGGGGTATTTCAAGGGGAGCCTTCACATCCTGTCATTCCTATCAGCCCTCCAGCATCTGATCCTCGTAAAGTGTCTCAAGTGCTTGGAGGCTTGTTTTCAGCACTGGGCTTATGAATAAAAATCAGCGTTTCACTTTTCTAAATGATATTCCTAGCTTCTTGCAAAATCCAGGATCTGATCTCAAGACCCTGAGTCTTCATCCCATCAAGGCGAGCATCAGCAGCTGCAGCCCCTTTTGATGGGGCAGTGAGACAGACACTGTCTGGTTCACTGCCCAGGGCACATGCTGACTTCTCACCTGTCTGGAAAGTTAGTGAGGGGATAGAGTGTTAGTCCAGAAGCATCCTCGTGAGCACAGGCATGTACACACACATATGCACATACCCGTCACCAGGATTCAGGCCCAGAGGGGATGACCTTATAGAAAGGTCACCTCTTCGCAGGTTCAAGGTGTGTAATCTGGACGACAGATTTGAGAAAAGTGAGTCTTAGGGTGAGATGAGAAGAATCAGATGATCAAGGCACACAGTAAAAAAGATGCTTGTGTCGTGTGCTATGCAAAAAGCAAGTGCCTTTCTCTGGCACAGCCATGTGTTTGGAGCGGCAGCGTGGAGGAATAGAAGGACTGGGCAGAAGCAGGGGCAGTGGCCTGTATCTGAACCTCTGTGATGCTCTGGGCAGGGCCCGGGCACCCAGGGGCTTGATCAGTATTGGCTAATGAGAGCCAGCCATGGGTTTGCGGATGAATGCAACTTTGCGACCTGGAAGAAGAATTTCTCTTCTCTGTTCTCAGTGTGCTCATCACGACAGCAGGCATTGCGAACTCCTGTGCCTACGGGGGCCGGGCTGGGCGCATGAGGGAGTGAAGGGATGTCTGGATGGGAAAAGTAGAATAAGGAGTGGAGAAGATGGTGGTAAGCTGGAAGTTCATGCCCATCCAGTGGGATGTCCAAATTCAACCCCAGCCATTTGTCACATGGGAAGGTGAGCCCAGTGTTGCCCAGACTCCCGACTTTTCATGAGAGGCTTGAAACCTGAATTTGTATGTGAACTCTAACAACCTTTGATGTGATGAATTCACTTTTCAAAGAGCATAGTGCAGCCAAACAAAACATACTGGGGGGCCATGTTTGGCAGGTAAGTCCTAGGTTTGCAACCTCGGGGATAAAGCTTGCTTGGTGTCTCCCTACCAGCTCTACTGGGTACCAACTCTACTTTGCTGCGCCTATGGCTTGAAGAGGAAGGAACTGTTATAGATGGAGAATGGCTGTGAGGACAAAGTTGGGGTGGAGGTGAGAAGTGAAACTTGGACCATACTATTACCAGGCTAGACAGATAGATCTGGACATGTTGGCTTCAGTGAGCAGAGTTGCAAGGCCAGGCAAGAATTGTGCATGGAGGCAGGCCAGAGGACAAATCCAAGGGAGGCGGCTGAGGGAAAGGGCAGAGGCTGTGGGTGGCAGTGGTATGGGCAGCGAGGGCAGCCCAGGAGAGAGCAAGAAGGAGCTAGGTGGGCTGTGGGGCTGAGGTAGTTTGCCCTCTCCCCTGCTCTAGCCTGGTGGGTGTGTGCAGCCCCTTACCAACCATGCCTAGCAGAAAAGTGTCATGGCCACATGGGAAGCTCTGTTCATTGTGCATCTACTCAGAAAAGTACAAAACTCAGTCCAGTCTCCCAAACTTGTAATCATAGTTGGGAATATAAGTCTGTCACACATGAAGAGGCAGCATAGTATGCTGGGTGAGCAGAGAGTAAGTTTAAGGCTCATACAACTTGGGTTTGAATCTGACCTTTGTCATTTAATAGCCCTGTGGCCGGGGCAAGTTAACTTCTTTTTGAGCCCAGTTTGTTCATGTGGGGATTAACAGCAGTTCCTACCTTGTAGTGTTGTCATGAGGACTGAATGAAAACAAATGCCTTAATGTGTGTGAAGTGCTTAGTTCAGGACCTGGCACAAAGTAAGTGCTCAAATTGCGCTCATTATTATTGTGAGACAAGCAATAACCTCAGCTACCTTGTGGTTAAGCACAAAATCCTTCGTCTCAGCAGAGAGTCAACAACAGATGCAGTAAAAGTTGACTCCTCCCCTACTGCAAATCCTTCCCTAGACATAGACCCTCTAGCCTGAACTCCTGTTTGCCAGAAAAGCAGGAGACATTGTACTCACCTGGATAAGGGTCATCTATAGAGCTTGGGTGACCCTGTTTGACCCCAGTACTACCTGGTTTATATATTGGTGTTTTCATTCACCTAACAAATATTTGCTGAGTAATAACTATGTTCCAAGCACTAAGAAAAGGTTTGGGGGATGCTGACTAGAAGAGGAGAAGGGTTGGGCCTTAAGGTACTGAATCTAACATGTAGGGTAAGCTGCTATAACACAAATCTCTAAATAGAATGGATAAATAAGACAGAGGTTTATTTTTGTCTTATGTAAGCCCTAGGGCAAGCACACCAAGCTGGTAAAGCAAGTCCATGAATGAGTTCATGGGCCCAGGTTTCTTACTATTTTGCATCTCTAAGTCTGTGTTTCAGGATGTGGGAAGTAGGAGGTGATGAAATCCAAGGCAAGCAGCTAATAATTAAGGAGCTTCCACTCACATCCCAATGGTTGGAGCTTGGTCATATGGCCACAGCTAGCTGCAAGGGATGCTGGGAAATGTAGTCTGGAGCAGATGGCCAGGTACTTTTGCAAAACTTGGGAGTGGAGGTTATTATAAGAAGGAAGAAGGGAGAATGAATCCTGGAGGGAAGCTAGCAGTTTATGATTCAGGGAGATAGGGAAGTAAATGAACGCTATCACAGGCAAATGCTCAATAGCACCAGCTGTAATCCTTGAGTCCAGGAATATGTTGTGGCCCTCATGGGAGTTTGGGATTTGGAATCAGACTTCTGGGTTCAAATCCCAGTTCTATCACTTACCACAGGGTTGGTATAAGAATTAAATAAGTCAACCCATATGATGCTTTTAGGATATGTATGGTCTGATCCAGAGTCAATGCTTAGCAAGTGTAAGCTATTACTGCTAGAGGGTGGGCTATGTCAAGAAAGACAATGACTCAGGATCTGGGGAATTCCTCATGGATTGGCCACCTCCCTTGGTTTTATAGCCCTATAGGCCTTGTCTCTCTGGATGCAAACATTGGGCCTTGAACCCTTGGCCCATCTCATCATGGAGAAATGTTAATGAAGACAAACAAGGCCATCTGAAGGGGCCAGTGTTTTGAAAAAATAGAATCAATTTGTGTTTGCCTGGACTGGGTCTCGAGGATGAATTTAGAGAGGTTTCAAGGTCCGCTATCTTGAGTAGGAGCCAGTGAATTTAGTACATCGTCTGTAGGCCTCTGTGGGAAAAGTAAGAGCCCTTCTTGTTGGGTGTGTCTCCAGGTAAAGAGCTTGAGAAATTATTTAAAAACTCTGCTACTTAGCTAAATAAAAGGGATAGTGAACAGTGAGGCTTCCCTCACAGGAGCTGGGGAAACCCTTGCTCTTGGGGAAGCCCCTGGTGGCCTGTCTAGGGCCCCTCCAGCAAGAGGAGAAAAGTGGAAAAGCCACCCCCACTGGGTGCTGCACTGGCAGGAGTTGGGGTGTCCTCTTACTGGGAGCTGGTGTTCTATGATATGCAGATGGTGTCATGTTTTCTATCTTCTGCAGGTATCATGTGGAAAGAGAACCTTCCTAGCTTCAGAACAAGAGACTTAGCTTTCCTTGACAACTCACACAGTGGGTAGATTTTAGCAGAAAAATAAACAGACACTGGAAAATGATTTTCTACCAGTTTTCTGCACTGTCTCATTTTCAGAGGTTTGAGGAGCTTTCATACCCTTTTTATCCCCAGATTTTGGAGTCAGACCACACACTACTCTGGAAAAAAGTAGCATTGGATGTTGTCTCACAATGGGTACCATTTTTGACACCCTAAAAGCATCCAGTTGACTCCCAGGAAAGGGGGTGGACATACAGGAGGGAGCACATGTTACAAGACTCATATGTGTTTAGGACCCCACCTGTGCCTGTAGGGAGGCCGGCAAGAGGTGGGCCAGGGCTGAGAGTGGAGCACCTGAAGGCTTGGGTAGGAGCTAGCTCGTGGGAAAGTAGGCAGGTGGTTGTAGTCTTGCCTGTCTCTCGTAACCTTGGCTGACCTCCTGGTCTTGACCTCTTGGTGTCATGAAGATCCTACACTTGGCTAGCCTGGGTCTGTAGGTGGCCATGGCCTGCGGTTTTCACCCACATTTTCTCCAGCTCTGTGAACCTCATGTCTTCTCTTGCACTGGTTCCCAGCTGGGCCTTCACTCTTCCTTACCACTGGGATTAATCTTTTATTCTTTTTCCCTTAAGGAAAACTTATCAAGGGGATGAGGACAATAGTAAAAGCTGATTAAACCAGGGTCTCCAGTCCTGGGGCCTCAGATGAAACTGGGATGTTGTCTCTGTGTGAGATTATACTCTTAGTGTCCGGGATGTGCCTCATAAGGCATCCAGTGTATAGTCCGTGCCTAGACCACATCATCCCTAGGCACTAGGAATTAATATTAAGAAGAGTAAATCCTATAATTCTCCTGAGATCAAAATAATTTTTAAAAAAGATTTATTTATTTTAGAGAGAGAAAAAGTGTGCACACATGTGCACACATGGGGGTAGGTGAGAGGCAGAGGGAGAGAGAGAATCTCAAGCAGACTCCCCGCTGAGTGTGGAGCCCCAAGTGGGGCTTGACCTCACGATCCTGAGATCATGACCTGAACTGAAACCAAGAGTTGCAGGCTTAACCGAATGAGCCACCCAGGTGCCCCTTGAGAGCATAAGAATTTTACATTATATTTGAGTTTGTGTGTGTGTGAAAAGTGTGAATTTATTAAGTGTGAGTATTTCAAATGTGCCATACATGTTATAATCCTGCTTTGAATTTCTTCATTTTTTAATCACCTGGGCACCTGGGGGGGTCTCTTCCCCTCTGAGGAGCCCTGTATGCAGGCCTACTCGATCAGGGATGAACAACCCTTTTTACACAAGAGAAAAATCAACAAACGTATTTACGGGTCTTTACCCCTTCATCAACCTGAAGAGAGCTTTATGGAGTCTCACGACCCAGGGGTGGGTGGGGCATCAAGGAATATTCATTTTACAACTTACTCTACTGGGTAGAATAGTTATCAGTGAGAAAAGGGGCACTGCTTTTTTAGTCATTGAAAACTTAATATCTGAGTGTTTGGAGACAGTTTTCCAACTTTTCATTCTGAAATTAGACATGGGGATGCCCGTGTGATCCTTGTTGCTGCAAGGACTCACCCCAGAACCCTTGGATTTGTGCTTTCTGTAGCTCAGTGCGTCTCTCACCCAGTGTAGAGCCCAGTGCATAGTAGGTGCTTAATAAATGCCTATTCAGAAACAATATGGTAGAATGGTTAAGAACAGACTTTACCAGGGCACTCGCTGCTGCACCGCATCTACTGCAACAACCACATCCTCGTGCGGCCCCGCCGCGGCCGCGTGACGGTCTGGCCCCGGGCCCGGCCGCCCGACGGCCCCCGCGGGCACCCCTCGCCCCCCGCCACCCCGCCGGCGTGGGCAGCAGAGGCCGTGGCCAGCGAGTCCGGGGGCTCGTCCGAGGAGGAGGCCGTCTGGGAGACGGCGGAGGAGCCGGACGAGAAGTCTGAGGAGGGCCAGGCGACCAAGGGAACAACTCAATATCAGCATGGGAAGTCTGACAAAGAGGTCCGCGATTCCGAAAAGGAGGAAGAAAAAGACAAGTTCAACAAAAAACAAGAAGGACCCGACTAAAAACGATCTGCCCCACCAGAGAACAGGCCCAGAAAATCCAGCAAGAAGATGAAAGAAGAAAGAATCTGTTGTTCATTATTTTTAGGTTTTTCATTTTTTAGAAGCCCACGGGAATTTCATTAACACTGATGTCATTCCAAACTGCATCACCCACAAAGTGATATCCAATGAAATACAACTCTTCTCTTAACGTTTGACGAATATATTTGACAGCATTTGTTCTAGTTAAAACTAAGTTTGTTTTAAATTAATACACCGGAATGTAGGCAGATTTTACTTAGTTAAATTATCTTGACTCAAATCTCTCTTTTTCCTCTTTGTTTTGGCCCACCGTACCTTCATTGAAAGGTATCACTTTCCACCATTTGGTGAGCCTATTTTAAATTAGTTTATTACAGCCCCAAATAAAATAAAATGTCAAGTTTAAAACACTTTTTGTAAGGAGAGAGATGTAAGTCAGGTCTTTAGCGCTACACTGTCCACGACATCAGTAACTGTAGTCACACATGGCTATGAAATATGGCTAGTCTAATCTGATATGTGCTGTTAAGTATACAAATGTTACATTAACTCACTGGTAATTTCATATGGATTACATGTTGAAACGATAATATATTGAGTTAAGATACACTATTAAAATTAATTTTTCTCCCCCCCCCCCAAAAAAAGAGCAGACTTTACCAGACTGCTTCCTTCTGTCACTTAACTAGCTGTGTGTCTTTGGCAAGTTTCTTAACCTTTCTGGCCCTCAGTGGTAGTCTGTAAAGTGGGGATGGTATCAGTCCCTACCTCATAGGTGAGGACTGAAGGAGCAAATACAAGCACTTACAGCCATGCCTAGCATATACAAACCTGCGTAAGTGTTAGCTGTTGTTATAAATATTGCTATTGAGCTGAGTAGAAACCCATCCACTATAAGGTGCTAGAGCCTTATAGAGAATCTCTTTCCATCCCTGGCTTCCGCTTCATTACCATTGATCAGATTTTCTCTCTAGTCCCTTGTCTGTGAAAATACATTTGATTTCCACATGAAATAACTATGACTTTTCCCTCATTCCAAACTTTAAAAGAAATTGTACTAATTTATTTGACAGAGAGAGAGAGCGAGCACAAGCAGGGGGAGCAAGAGAGGGAGAAGCAGACTCCCCACTGAGCAGGGAGCCCGATGCGGGATTTGATCCCAGCACCCTGGGATCATGACCTGAGCCAAAGGCAGATGCTCAACCGACTGAGCCACCCAGGCGTGCCTTTAATGATTTTTTAAAAGATTATTTATTTATTTATTTATTTATTTATTTATTTATTTATTTATTTATTTGACAGAGAAAGACACAACGAAAGAGGGAACACAAGCAGGGGTAGTGGGAGAGGGAGAAGCAGGCTCCTCGCCAAACAAGGACCTGATGCGGGGCTTGATCCCAGGACACTGGGATCATGACCTGAGCTGAAAGCAGATGCTCAATGACGGACCCACCCAGGCGTCCCTTTAATAATTTTTTTTAAAGATTATTTATTTATTTGACAGAGAGAGACACAACGAGAGAGGGAACACAAGCAGGGGGAGTGGGAGAGGAAGGAGGCTAAGCAAGGAGCCTGATGCGGAGCTCGATCCTAGGACCCTGGGATCATGACCTGAGCTGAAAGCAGACGCTTAACTGACTGAGCCACCCAGGTGTCCCTCCAAACTTTTTTTTTTAAGGCAAGAAAAGCAAAAAACAGAAACCCCAATGTGTTTGAAGCAAACGTGGGTCCATCTGTAATAGTGCATTGGATTAATAACCTGGGTGGAGGCTGCACAACCAGATTTGGGGAAACTGCTCTTTTCCAAAGAAAGTGCCGGGCTCTCCATTCCCCTTCCACCTCTTCTCACAGAATGCCCTTCCTGTTCGCTTAGCCACTTGGTCTGCTCTTTGCATCGACAGGAGATCTCCGGGGAATGACGCACTCCAGATACAGTCTAGCTCCAGGAGCCTTGTCTACCTGATTTTATTCGTAATCACCTTTATTTTCGTTCATTGACTTTTTCTTTAAAGTTTTAAATATTGAAATATAGCATACACACAGAAAGGAGCTCATGCGTTCGGCTCAATACATTTTGACAAGCTGAACTTATTGGTGTCTTCAACACCCAGATTAAGAAACAAAGGACAGAATCCTAGCTGTGCCCCTTCCAGTTACTACCTCACCCCCTACCCAACCCCGCCAAGGGAGATTATCCTGGCTCTAACCCCATCAAATGGAATCTTCTAGTATTTGCACTTCAGTGTTTGGATTTCCCCCTTCAACACTGTGAGATTCATTCATAGTGTCGACTGTAGTTGTAGGCTCTTCATACTTAGTGCTGTATAGTATTCTGTCATGTGAGTATACCGTGATTTCTTTGCCATTCTACTCTTGATGGGCTTGTGGCAGTTTCTGGTTGGAAACTTCTATGAATCTCGCTACTGGGAACAGGGTGGCATGTCTTTTCGGGATGACGTGCACAGACCCGCCAGTGGGATATCTAGGTCACAGGAAAGGCATCTATTCAGTAAGTGCTTGCTAAACACTCTTCCAGAGTAGGGGTGCCAATCATCTGCCTGATTTTGATGAAAAAAATGATTCCATATTCAGATTTGATTTGAGTTTTAAAGCAGAATAACACTGCACTGATTCTGTTGATTTCGCCATTCCTATTTCTCCCCTTTCATGTGGGTGAACCATATGGTAACCGGGCAAATCCACTCAAGTGGCTGTAACTCTTTTTGGGAGGCGCTTGACTTTTAGACCTGCTACCTGAAATGGAAGGTTTAGGATTCGTTTTTTTCCCCTAAAGTGTCTGTTTTATTTTCAAGAACAGAAAATGCTAATCATCATATCCCCTGAAAAAAACAAACAAACAACAAACCTCTCCCACCCTCCCAACACTCCTTACACTTTTTATTGGGTGAAATTCAGAGCTTGGGGAAGTTTTGAGTGAAAATCAAACATCAGTGAGATTACGGATTTTCCAAAATTTGCTTGCTGGGTAAGTTCACTCATAAGTTGAGTTATGGGTGCCCTTCTTTGGAATTTGACAAAGCTGGGCAAATGGAGAGTCAAAAGTCCCCTGGTCCAGTCCTGACTTTTGGCTGTAAACAACCATGGTGCAAGGTGCTTCAGCGGTGCAGAGAGACAGAAGGCCTTCCCGTCCAGCCCCAGACACCTTATAAATAGGGACCTCTGAGTCATAGAGGGACTTTAATCGAATCTCTTCATTTTGGCTTGCCCTCCCTTCCCTGACGCCAAAACAACAAGCTAGAAACAACAACCCAGAGAGTACGTCACACACTGCTGCCTCATAAAAATCACAAAAGCACTCTCAAATCCTGCAGCACCAAAAAGTTACTCTTTTATTTTACGGATGGGAAAATTAAGACCCATGGCGTTGACTTGACACTCTAGGATCCTGGAAGAACGGGTGGTTGGAAGCCAGGCGCATGCCTGGGATTTGCCCTTCTAGGAACGGGGGGGGGGGGGGGTCTTTTCTAAGAGGAGTTTTAAGGATGGGAGGCTATATCAGGAGCTCATCATGAGGTCCTTTTGATGGGTGACTTTCACATCCCAGAGCTTGGCATTTTATCTGGTTAGAAAATGGTCTTCGGTAAGGACATATACAAGGAATTGATTGCTGGTTTGTTTGTAGTGGCCAAGAGTGAAAACTCAGTGAGTATCTATGTCAGTAGGGAAATGGCCCAGTAGCTACGCTTCCATCATACCTTGGATCGTTACAGAGCTATTGAAAGGATTTTGGCAAGGTATGGCAGAATAAATAAGAGGGAGAAGAGTGTATATATGATTCTATTTTTTAAACAAACAATAACCATCCTCCCCCAAAACCACGATTTGTGTGTGTGTCTTAAATTACATGAGTATGGGGAAAAATGTGGATGGACACAAACTAAAATGTTAACATGGGCTACCTGGGGAAATCAGGGCTGAGGATGTGGGAGAACAAGGTATAGCAAAATAGCATGTGATAAAATGCCATCTGAATAAATTTATATATACGCATATATATGTATACATATGCATAAGGAAATGCATAAAAAGTACATGCATACATTTGAAAGGCAAACGAGTTGTTCCAGTAAGAACAGGGCTGAGAACCTTAAATGGGTCAGTTAGCTTTGCAGGGATGAGAGCTCAGTTCTGTGGCTGATGGCTTTACCCCCAGGTCAGTTATGTTGTAAGTGAAGGACACTGGTCAGAAGTGGAGTGGGAAAGATGTGTGGGTGTTTGAGCACAGACATGTGGCTGCATTTGGCAAAACCCAGTAATCGTAACTACCCTCCTGATGTGCCTACCACGTGCTGGCATTTTCATACTTTCTAGAAGTTAGATATTTTTATCTCCATTTCATGATGAGGAAAGCTGAGGAGCAAGCAACTCAAGGCCACAGAGTGAGTGAGTGGTGCTGAGGTTTAAGCCCAGATCCGCCTGATTCCAGAACTTCTGCATTTTAGATCTCCTCACAGCTCGGGGTTTAGTGGGGGTGGTTGGGCTGGCCTGCTTTGATCCACACTGAGATTTCTGTGAGGTCCTCTCTCACAGGGTCCTAACGTGTAGGTTTTGCTGTTAAAAGCAACCATGCCACCTTCTAGGGAATGTTTCCTGTGTGTTCTTGTTGGCCTGGTTTTGGATGGCTTCTTACCTGGGTGAGGGAGAGCAGCCTGTCCTGGCCTCTGTTCCTGAGGGAGCAGGGCTTCATGGAAAAGTGGGGCATGTGGGCACTTACCTCAGGACAGGTGAGAGACAGACTGGCTTGTCAAAAAGGACAGTTTGACCACATCTAACATCTGGCCCCTGCACCGTCTCAGCAGCCACTTGGGGAGTAAATGTTTGGGTTTCATGGGGATCTCTCTCCCACCTCTCCTTGCCATCCTCCCCCCCGCCCCCCCCCCCCCCCGCCCCACTAAACACAAAAGAGCGAATAGTCGTGGCTTGTTTGGTGGCCTGGGGGTGTGACTTCCACCCAAAGCGCTGAGCTGAGCGAGTGCTTGTGCTGTCGCCAAAGGTGCCCCAAAGTGAGTATTTAAGATAAAAATCTCAGATCTGCAAGTCCATTGTCACCTGTGACCCCCTTCTCTTTTCTTGGCCTTGCTTTCCTCATTCACCAAACGGGGATCGGATTTTTCTCTTGCTTATGATGAAAAGAATAGATGATCTAGA